GAAAAGGATTGGCAGTAGTGGGAAACTGTGGGTGGGGGTGGGATTGGTAGTTGTGGGACTGGTGGTTGGGGGAAACTGCTAGGGGAGGGAGGAGCACACCTCATCAACAAGGGTACCTGCATAATTGTATATCCAACCCTGAATTTACCACACATCTTTATAATAAAAAAAGAAGACAAAAATTTTTTAAATTTTTGTTTATAATAGAGATGAGTTTTTGCTATGTTCCCCAGGCTGGTCTCAAACTACTATCCTCCTGCCTCCACCTCCCAAAGTGCTGGGATGACAGGCATGAGCCACCATGCTGGACCACACATACAGGAATGATACAGCGTGACAAATAAGTGTCTAATGTAAAAGAGGCTTTAATAAGTCTGAAATTTAAAGGTAGAGACGTTGTACCAAAAGAAGAAGAGGTAACACTAGGCCTAGGCCAGGCGCGGTGGCTCACGCCTATAATTCCAGCACTTCGGGAAGCCGAGGTGAGAGGATTGCCTGAGCCCACGGGTTCAAAATCAACCTGAGCAACTTGGTGAGACCTTATCTCTACTTTAAATCAAAAAAATTAGTCAGGCATGGTAGTGCATACCTGTAGTTCCAGCCACTTGGAAGGCTGAGGCTGAAGGACTGCCTGAGCCCAGCAGGTTGAGGTTGCAGTGGCCATGAATGTGCCACTGCACTCCAGCCTGAACGACAGAGTGAGAATCCGAGTCAAAAAGAAAAAAAAGAGGCAACACAAGCACATCATTGCAGCAACCGATGAATGTGCACGTTGTCATCTACATGGCGTCGTTCCTGGAAGGAGCTAGAGACAGGTAGAGAAGAGGGGAGACCCCAGGAAGGGAGGAGAGGCCTGCCTCGTCCCACAGGGCCATCACACAGGACGTCTGCCGAGCCACCCCCGTATGTGCTGTTTTCATGACTCACATTCTCCTGCCCATCCAGACTTTCTTCAGAGGCAGGGACTAAGTAGAGAGAGCCAATCTGCTCCGCCTTTTACCCCAGCTCCCATCCCAATGCCCCACATTTCACAGGTGCCAAATAAATGCCTGCTCAAACATCCTTCCACCTGGAGTGTCTTCAGGAAACATGAGTGGGCAGTCCTTAACACCACCCTACAATCCAAACCTTCCCTTGGGAAAAATAATGACTGGGAAAATATTCATATGTTCACATAAATGCAAAGTGATGAAATGGGGGCTTCAGGCCCCGCGAAAAGAATTTTCTTTCTTTCTGAGTGAGAGTCTCACTCTGTCACCCAGGCTGGAGTGCAGTGGCACACTGCTCACGGCCACCGCAGCCTCCACCTGCTGGGTTCAGGCGATCCTTCCACCTCAGCCTTCCAAGTAGCTGGAACTACAGGCATGTGCCACCATGCCTGGCTAATTTTTTTGTTGATAGTAGAGAGGTCTTGTCATGTTGCCCAGTCTGGTCTCGAATCCCTGAGCTCAGGCAATCCTCTTGCCTCCGCCTCCCAAAGTGCTGGAATTACAGGTATGAGCCACCATACCCGGCTGTGTGAAAGAAATTTCAAGTAGCCATGGAAAGAGGGAGGGAAACTTGGAAACATGGGGAACATACCTCATTCTCTAGAAAGGTGCATCGACAGACACGCAACTCATTGGCGTATTCCACGAGTCCTATATGATGGAGAAAGTGAGGCCCAGACAAGGAAGACATTCCCAAGAAGGTACCCTCGTCCTGTGGCCTTATGGCAGACACAGAAGACCTTCCCTCCCAACTCTGTTCCAACTCAATCGGGCTCCACTGCACAGGCCACGAGAAGTCGGAACATACCCACTACTCCCATATGCCCCCTCTTGGTGTGGGGGACTCTACCCCCATAACTGGGTCTCAGTGCACATTCAGATGGCAACCTCCTGTCCACCCACACATACCCTAGGTGGCCAATGGGGAAAGGCAACCCTGCCTGTCACAACCTCAGGCATCACGGAGACTCAGGGGCAGGGAGTAGTGTGAGCACAGCTGGGGACCCCCGAAGCTGGGGTCCCCCACAGTTCAGAAACAGCCTCAGAAGCCAAAGTCTGGCCACCCAGTGGCCAGGAACCAACTGCACTCCTGTCTTTCCCAGAACCAGGCACTGATGCTGCTTCCTTGTTGTGAGACTGGACCTTGCATTTCATAACCACCCAAGGGGATTTGCTAGGCCAGGTCCGAGGAGGGAGTTTACAGTGATGCTCAATTAATTTCCCCAATTTCTTCTTTTCACTGTTATTTTCAATTTGCTATCCCCAGATACTGGTTCCTGAATTAATTCTGTTTATCTTTATCTTTCTTTTGTGATTATTTATTATTTATGAAGCAATGAGCTCTATGTTGCTCAGGCTGGTCTCAAGTCTCAAACTCCTGGGCTTAAGCAGTCATCCTGCTTCAGCCTCCCAAAGTGCTGGATTACAGGCATGAACCAATATGCTCACCCTGTTTATCTTTTTCACTCAAAAAAAAAGTGATGTGTAATTTCTAGAACATTTTTTTTTTGAGTCGGAGTCTCACTCCATCGCCCAGGTTAGAGTGTAGTGGCACACTCACAGCCACCCAAGCATCAACCCGCTGGGCTCAGGTGATCCTTCAGCTCAGCCTTCCAAGTAGCTAGAACTGCAGGCATGCACTACCATATCCAGCTAATTTCTTGATTTATTGTAGAGATGAGGTCTCACCAAGTTGCCCAGGCTGTTCTCGAACCCATAGGTTCGGGCAATCCTCTCACTTTGGCCTCCCAAAGTGCTGGGATTACAGGCTTGAGCCACTGCACCCAACCTCTGGAACATATTATAATGACTAGATTTCTTACATGTCCAATTGCTTTAAAATTAAGCCCGCACTGATTACTTGGACATGAGACTTGCCACAGACTCATACACTTCACAAAAAGGTTTTTCAGTTCACGTGTCAGCACTACTCGGACGTAATTCTCTAGGAAGAGAATTCCTATTTTATTTATTTATTTTTTGCAAACCATTTTAGAGGCAGGGTGTTAAACTGATTGAAATTTCACAAGATTGACATTATTGCTTAAAGTGCTTGAATTGGTTACATTTTTTAAAATTAAGGTACAGATTATCTTAAATAAAAACTACAAATTTCCTCTAGCCACAAAATAAGAGGAATGTCACACAAATACAGTAACTATTTTGGTTATACAGAAATGGAAGCCAAAAATAAATTAACGTAACACTGGAAAGCAGAAATTTAATTAGGAAGAAAAGTAGGAAGTCACTTCCCTGGCCCAAGCCGCTGGCATGAGATGACAATAGAACTGATAAATGTTTGGGCCAGGTACTAGCAAATGGGGCAAAACACAGAATGTACCAAGCTGATCGAAACGCAGCGTCTAATGAAAGAATCCATCTGTAATGAAGCTCCACTCCAGTATCAAAAATAAGCCCCACATCCCAGCGGGAGCACAGTTCCTCACCAGGCATGCCCCCGAAATCAAGGGTATCCACAACAATAAACACATAGGGACCACTCCTGTCCTCTTTCCTGTTTGATCTTAAATCCTAAATATCCCCACCAGGCCATAAAGCCACTTAGGATCGACCTCCGCATGTGTGCTGCTCCTGGCCCTCCCTGCCCACCCATGCCCTGGTGCCTTGGAAAGAAAATGCATCCGAACAACAGGACTAGGCACCAGCGTCTTTCTGAAATCTACTTTATTTTTTGTTTATTTTTTTTGAAATCTACTTTTAAGCAAGTGACCTTTGAGCGGAATTTAGATACTAAGCTGGTAAGTAACCAACAAAGCAGATATTTCTTCTCTTTTTAAAGTGTAAGACATTAGCCGGGCTCCGTGGCTCAGCCTGTAATCCCGCGCCTTTGGGAGGCTGAGGTGAGTGGATTGCCTGAGCCCGCGGGTTCGAGACCTGCCTGGGCATCGAGACCTCATCTCTATAATAAATCAAAAAATCAGCCGGGCGTGGTAGCGCATGCCTGTAATTCTGAATACTTGGAAGGCTGAGGTGGAAGGATCGCCGGAGCCCAGCAGGTCTAGGCTGCGGTGGCCAGGAGTGGCCACTGCACTCCAGTCTGGGTGACAGAGTGAGACTCCAACTCAAAAAAAAAAAAAAAAAAAAGTGTAAGACACTGAAACTTATTTTTTATTTTATTTTTGAGTCAGAGTCTCACTCTGTCACCCAGGCTGGAGTGCAGTGGCAAGCTCATGGCCACCGCATTCTCAACCTGGTGGGCTCAGGTGATCCTTCCGCCTCAGCCTTCCAAGTAACTGGAACCACACGCATGCCATCAAGCCTGGCTAATTTGTCTTGATTTACTGTAGAGATGAGGTCTCCCCAAGTTGCTCAGGCTGGTCTCAAACTCAAGAATTCAGGCAATCATCTCACCATGGTCTCCCAAAGTGCTGGGATTATAGGCGTGAGCCACCGTGCCTAGCCACTGAAACTTATTTTAAAACACCCAGCAGGGCTACTCGCTCCTGCTAGAAGCCATACACCAAGTCCGGGCTCTGGAGGGAAGGTCGGTTGGTGCATCAGGACCTCAGGATGGGATCACACCTCCCCGCCATGCCTGCTTTACTCTGTGAGGAGGGACAAGAAATGATCATCACACGTTTGCACGCTGCTATCTGTGCACAGAGAGACGATCAGGAGAAAAGTGTAGCTGCCTGCTGTTTGTTTTGGTTACTGAAGAGGAAGAGGGAGAAAAAATGTCCAGATAGCTCTAAATTTTAAAGAATGGACGAAGTGTTCTGGAGAAGTCTTGGTCTTTTTCCAATCATCTTTTCAGGCATCACACAGCTGCTTTAATGTCTTTGCAATCTTTCCTATACTTATTCTTTTTCATTCCAAAAATCTATCCATAAATACTGGATTTTAACTGACTCTATTAAAAGGAATCATTGGGAAAAGGTTTTTATACATCCAAACAAAAAAGAAATGTACTGAACATACGACTTAGCATTTAAGTATTAAATTCTACAGGTTTCTAACTGAGACCTTTTTTCTAATAAATTAGCTTCAAGAGTCATTTCAAAGATAATTTTAATAGTTTTCTTATGAATCAGATCCAAATATATTAGAGACCAATCATCATTCTCTTAAACTTTGTAACTTGCAGTCAAATATATGAGTTGTATATAGTACAAACATTTCCCCATACCAGTCACTTTCAATTGGAAAGTGCCTCTCCTTAAAAAAAGAATAAAGACTCACCTTCCAGGTAAGTGATCACTGCATGTTTCATGGAGGAAAAAAGACAAAATATTTATAAATATGAATGTGCCTCTAAACAAGGCAAGGAACATTTTCATCACTTGTATAAAACAATCACATGAAGATCACCCTGTTTTGTCTTCTCCAGTGAAAAGTAAAACATTTCGCTTCAAGCATGAACAAATGAAATGTTGGCATGCTTACTTAAGTTCTGAGCAATACAGTTCAAGATTTTCCAAAGATAAGAAATCCAGTTTTCATTTCGATAAAGTGCTATCCTCGTCAATGCTGCAAAAGGGCCCGCCAACACTTCCCACTTCGTTCTGGGTTCACATTATGCCACAAGTCTGCACGTTCGTTAGCGGATGTGTCAGGTAACAAAGGGACATGTTCACAGTATATTGTAGTGTACGGGAGTCACGGTCTGCAACTCGACAACCAGCTCAACGGCAAACACCAGATTGACCCTTTAATAAAAGGTACCCACGCTCAAAGGCTCTAATAAATACATATGTAACAAAAGTGAAAAGGAGAAGGAACTAGAGTGAGATGAGTTTCTTCCAAAACACTCCGTCCTGTCGAGCAACCTAGGAGTCTGAGCCAAAGAAATCGCCCTGTTTTGTCCCACCACATCTGCCCCCACACTTCCTCTGAGCTGCCTGCATACCCAGCTGACCAGCGTCCCCTGTGGCAGGGGAACCTGCAGTGCTGGGGTGGCAGGAACCTCGGGAGCAGACGGGATGTGGGTTCACTTGGCTGCACGTGCAGATGGCCCCTCACGCAGGGCCTGAGTGAGGCTAGACAGAGGAGAGCTGGGCCAGCCCCGCAGCTCCGCCCCAGACACTGCAGGGCTGGAAAGATGCCCTGGAAAGTTCAGGTCTGTTCAACTCATGGGACCCGATGGGAGAAAAGGGGTGCCAAGAAGAAACAGCACTGGGTTCATTTCCTGAAACTTGGTTTTGGTAGAAAGGTAAGAAAAGTAACTTTTCACGTCAGCAGAAACGCCCCCTCCCGGCTCCGCCTGCCCTGAGCACCACATCTTCTTAGCCCCGGAATGCTACCGACCAGGTAGGTGAGCACAGCCCTGTGCAGACCCCAGCCACTGACGGCCACTGACGGCCACCAACAGCTCCCTGTCACCTGACCGACTGGGAGTGGCACTCAGGGTCAAGATGACTCATTCTCAAACATTCGCACTTGCACAAACTTAAAGCTATAGGTGCAGCCCTGAAGGGGGACGTCTACCCAGGCCTCTGTCTTGGTGTCAGATAGGAGGCAGAGGAGCTGAAACGGGTAGCAACGCTTCTAGGGACAAGTTCAAGGAATGCATCGTAAGGAGACCCTGGGAGCCGCTAAGGAGCTCAGCAAACACCCAGGGAAGACTGTAGACATTCCCAGGAATGTCACTCCCATTCAGCCAGACATAGCGGGTGGCCAGCTTGCACCCGATTCTTAACAATAGCAACGGTTATTCACAGAACTCTTACTACAATCTGATTGCAATGAACTCTACCTCAGACAGAAATAAAACCAAGTAGTGCTGCGGGCAAAACAACAAGGGAGAGAGGCCAGCACAGCCGACCATGGGACTCGGAGGGGTGCCGTTGCACGGCGGGAGGGGCTGCAGGGAAACCAGGAGACAGTGCTTTGAACGCTCTCCCCACTGGCGTCAGTCTCTCAGTTCTGCAAGTTATTCTCTCGACTGATAGAATAAAATATATCCAGATTCTGAGTTCTTTGATATATCTGATGTCAGGCCATAGAATTCTTCAATAGCTTGAGCATCTATTTTCTGCAATAAACAAGAAAGAAAACAATACAATTATTCAACACTATTCCTGGGAAGAGGAAAGAAATGCACATGGAACCTACAGTCGATACAAGGGATGCTATATGTTGCAAAATCACAGCGAGGAACTTTCAGTAGCAAATGGAAAGTTCCAGAGGCCTGGCAGAGGGACACGAGTACTTGAACTGTCAATCATTGGGGAAGAAGGCCACCCTTCCGCCCACCAGCAGCCATACACGGCACTCTCCAAGAAGCCAGGATGCAGCTTTCGGATGGTAAACCTGGGGGTCTTGGAACAGCCCCGACTCTTCCGGGCCACTAGGCTTCACTTCCTTCAGCATCGTCCCACTGATACCGTCGCTCTCATGATTAACACAGAGTGTGTCTTTGAGTGTCACGTTCACTTCAGTTAGTTCTCCTTCCAACACGATCCATGTATGGCATGCTTTGGTGTCACATAAAGAGTTCAAATCTGATAGGTTGGAAAAAGTTTTTTGTGGTTTTTTTTTTTTTTTTTTTTTGAGTTGGAGTCTCACTCCCTCACCCAGACTGGAGTGCAGTGGCACACTCACAGCCACATCGGTGTCAACCTGCTGGGCTCTGCTGATCCTTCCTTCTCAGCCTTCCAAGTAGCCAGAACTACAGGTGTACACTACCATGCCTGGCTAACTTCTGATTTATCATAGAGATGAGATCTCGCCAAGTTGCCCGGGCTGGCCTCGAACCCAGAGGCTCAGACAATCCACTTGCCTCGGCCTCCCAAAGGACTATGATTACAGGCTGAGCCACCGAGTCCAGCCTGGAAAAAGATTTTGAGTCAGAATCTTGCTCTTGTCACCCAGGCTAGAGTGCAGTAGCACACTCATGGCCACTGCAGACTTGACCTGCTGGCTCAGGTGACCCTTCCACCTCAGTCTTCCAAGTACCTGGAACCACAGGCGCGTGCCACCACACCTGGTTAATTTTTTGATTTACTGCAGAGACAAGGTCTTGCCAAGTAGCTCAGGCTGGTCTCAAACCCATGGGCTCAGGCAATCCTCTCACCTCGGCCTCCCAAAGTGCTGGGATTATAGGAGTGAGCCACCACACCTGGCCGGAAAAAGTATTTAAATTGATATAAGAAAACTTTGCTACCATAAAGGAATTTTAATAGAGCTCTGGAGTCTCATGTGCCCTGGACCACAGAGGGCTCCTGCCATGGGAAGAAACAGGTCGTACATGAACCTGGGATTTATGGTGGCACAGACATGGAGAGCTATGTCAACAGGACCGGCGAACAAGGACGCTGCACTCCCAAGCCTACAATCACGCCCCTCCCCCCTTGCCACGGAGACTGTGGATTGGTTGAGTTTGGCTTGGATAGAAATATACATTGCTTTCTCTTTTGTTTTTTTGCAAAGTGAGAAAGCACGATTGATTGAGGACAGAAAAGTTCCCACAGCAGGAGGAGACCCGAAAGGGTTGCCCATCTGAGGCCGAAAACCTGGTGCTTATATAGCGCTAAGTCCAAGCTGATTGGCTAGCACTAGCTGTGAGTTGTAGCTTTTCTGGTCTGTATTAAGGACCAATTGGCAGGAGGTAGGGGCCTAATGGTGAGCTGATTGGTTGCTTTTCAATCCCAGCAGTGAGTACCTAAGCTCTAGCTTGAGAGGCTGGCAGGGAGCTTGTTCACCAATGCTGAGCCTGAGAGGCCCTCCCTGGGAATTCGATACACTGGTACCAGGCGACCCTCTTGTCGGTCTGCCTAGTCTTTTTCTAGCTATCTCCTGCCTCATTCCCCGCTCTGGAGTAGTAACCCTAACTGCCCTTGGGGAGTGAGGACGATGATTGGTCTGGCTACCTCCTGCTGATCACGGGTGTCGTATGGGGACGGCAAGTGCGGATCCTCTGGAGGGCGATCTAAAGGTCCTCAGTAGAAAGAAGCTTCCATACAAGGTCCCATCTGCACCACCATTTGGAGTTTGATGCCCTTCTTCCGTCAAGCTCCACGTTCGGGCACCAAAACTGATGAGGATTTTTCAGGTCAGCCTGGGCTTCACGAATGTCAGTTCAATGGGTCGGCCAGCCAAGCTCCAGAGGGGGTCGTCGAGGAGCTGGTAAGCCTAGCCCCAGAAGTGTCAGCTCTAGTGGGCTGGCAAGCCAAGCCCTGAGTGTTGCGATTCAGTGGGCAGGCAAGCCTAGCCCCCGAAGTGTTGGCTCTAATGGGCTGGCAAGCCAAGCTCTGAGAGTGTTGCTGGTTTGGTAGGCTGGCAAGTCTAGCCACCGGAGTGTCTCAGCTTTGGAATCCTGCCTTCTTCCGGCAGCTCTCCTGGTTCAGCCAGCTCTGTCGGCTGGCAAGCCAGCCTCTGGGGTGCACGGCTCTTCAGCTCCGACGATCTTCTGCAGCTCTTCAGGTCAACGATCTTCTGCAGCTCTTCAGGCCGAGGTTCTTGTCTCATGCCCAGGAAGAAGGAGGGGCATGGACAGCCGGAAAGTGAGAAAGCATGATTTATTGAGGACAGAAACGCTCCCACAGTGGGAGGAGACCCAAAGGGGGTTGCCTGTATGTTGCTTTCAAGTCAGCTTGTGGGGAAACAGGCCAATTTTAGAAAATGTCCACGCACACACCCTCCCACATACTAGCTACACCAGGCCCATGGGGAAAGTCCGAACACCCACCTCTACGATGTCATCATCAAACAAGAGCCAGAAGCCGTGACTCTTCACGATGGTGATATAATGCCCACGATTGGGACCGCTGGAAAAGAATGAACAAGGAAAGTTGACAAGGTGACATTTGCTTTTTTATAAAGCTCTGCTTACCTCTTCATAACTGGTGATTCACTAGGAAAAAAGCTGACATCATTGGGATGGAGAACTCAGTACATGGATCCCGTTTGTGTCCTCAATCCATGGTGGACACCCCCCCCATGCCAGCACCATTCAGGGCACAGGGGATACAAAATGCACAAGAGGTGCTTTTTTTTTGTTTTTTGAACTAGAGTCTCACTCTCTTGCCCAGGCTGGAGTGCAGTGGCACGCTCCCAACCACCACAGCCTCAACCTACTTGGCTCAGGTGATCCTTCTGCCTTAGCCTTCCAAGTAGCTGGAACTACAGGCATGTGCTACCATACCCGGCTAATTTTTTTAATTTACTGTAGAGATGAGGTCTCCCCATGTTGCTCAGGCTGGTCTCAAACCCACGGACTCAGGCAATCCTCTTACCTCGGCCTCCCAAAGTGCTGGGATTATAGGCGTGAGCCACCACGCCTGGCCAAGAGGTGCTTCTTAAGGACTATAATCGAGTGGGAAAAACAGCCTGGGCAAAATCAAGTTATCACTGTCTGCCCGCCCTGTGCCAGGCCCTGCTCTGATCACTGGGAAGAAACAGCAGGCCAAACAGAGTTCTCCCTTTCCTGGGACTGGCGGTGAGGAATGAACAGGCTACCAACATACTACACATGACGGCAAGTGGTGGGAAGCAGCATGTGTGGAGGGGGCCTCACTGATGGTATGAGGCCTGAGTGGGGGATTTCCCTGGAGAAAATGAGGGGGAGGGTGGGAGCTCTGCAACCCCAAGACAGGAGTTTCGGGACTAGCGTGTGGAAAGTCAGGGGCAGGAGTGGTGCTTGGTGTGTTCAGATGCCGCAAGGAGGCCAGAGTGCCAGAGCGGGGGAAGTTGGGGTGGAGGGGAGGGGAGGCCAGAGAGACATGGAGAGTTGGGCACGGGCGTCGTGGTAAGCTTAGACTCTGTTGGGAGCAGGGAAAACCATAGAGAACTGTGAGGGGTGCCATGATCTGAGCTCCAGAAAGACGCTGACCAACCAAAACGCGTAACAGCAAGTACTGGGGCAAGAAGGTGTGGGCTATGCCACCCAGAAAAAGGCAGAAAGAACCAGACAGTGGTCACACATGGTTTTAGCAGATTTCCTGAGAGGAACTTAATCAGACATCTAAAGTTATTTTCTTTTTTAATTTTAGTTAATTAATTTTTTTTTTTGGTAGAGCTGAGGTCTTGCTATGCTGTCCAGGCTGGTCTCAAACTCTTGGGCTCAAGCAATTCTCCTGCCTCAGCCTCCCAAAGTGCTGGGATGATAGGTGTGAGCCACCATACCCAGCTAGAATATATTTTTAATCATCAACATGCCACAGAATTATAAAATTGGGCCTGTTGCTTCCAGTCTTTATTCAGACATCTTAAAATACTTTTAAGGTCATATGCAGCATATGCAACCTGGCTTTCAAAAAGTAAAATCATAGCACAGACATTAATTTATCCATGTTATTTCAAACTCCTCAAAAGTATGATTTTTCTTTCTCTCTTTCTTTTAGATTGGAAAATATAATTTATTTAGAAAGTAAGTGAGAGAGAGAGAGAGAGAGAGAGGAGACTGACCTCCCCAAAGTAGGGAAGGGGGCCAAAGCTTAGGAAAACATCATGGTGGTCATAGCACAAAGAGACACATGGCCAGAACAGAGCTCAGCAAAGCAATGGCCCCCAAAGCATGATTTCTATGCAACGGAGATGATCACATTACTTCACCATGGCAGACAATTAGATGATCATCACTGTAAGGTTATTTGTTTTGTGTGTGTCTGTAGGGATGTTTTGAGATGATCAATGAGAGTTTGGAAAGATTCCCAAAAGCACCCAGCATCACAGCCTAGCAGGAGGCAGCAGGTCTGTTTCCACAAAGGGACAACCCTGACATCCATCTCGTGCGCGTACATCCGGGCCTGTCCTTACCTGCCACAGTGGACGACCACAGCAACCAGGTCATACATGCGGTCCAGGTTGACTGCGTCGCTGGAAGTGTTGAAGAGCCGGAGCTCCAGGGGGAAGACCACACGGTAGGACAGCTTGGTATACCTGTGCAGCTGCTCCATGTACTTGAACCGCTTCAGGTGCAGGGCCAGGATCATGGGAAGCTTCTTCACTCTCATCCTAGGGAGCCCGGAGACAGGAGGTCAGCCGTGTCTACCCCGGCTAGGGGAACAGAAACCAGAGAGCAGGAGGGTCCAGCATCCTCAAACCAGCAAGCAGCTGCTGGCGAGGACACAGTCTGCTCACTGTGGAGGGCTGGCTTGTGCATCCCTAGCTACTGAAGCATCCTGGGGAGGGGATACTATAACGCGTGCCCCTGATTGGTTGAAGAGACGTTCCTGAGTGTGGTGTGTGCCAATGAAAGAAAAGCAGGTTGTGTAGCGTTCTCCATCCCTGCCCTCTGCCACCCAGAGTGGACTGATACCTGGGTTGTTGCTCCAGAAATGGAGGGCACTTGAGGGCTTCTGAGGGAAGGACACTGGAGGGGACCAGGAGGGAAGTGAGACAGGCCTGTGGGTTCCCACCCCACAGGACGCATCCAACATGCTTCCTGGGCACCGGGACCCCAGCACGCCATGTCACCCTCACCCGAATCCTGTGATTTGGGGCGAGTCACTCCCTGCTCAGTTTCCTCATTTACAAACTGCAGGGCCTGACTGAGGGCTACCTTTCCCAAACTACGCTCAGAGAGCACTGGAGATATTACCAAATGTGGGTTCCTGGGGCCAAGCCAGTTTGGACAACACTGCTTTTGCTGTGGAAGATCTCTGTGCACAGCTTAAACGGTCACAAAGGTAACCATTTATGTAGTGAACACTGCTAGACAAAGGATCTCACTGTTACCTTCCAGCCCCCCGTTTGGTGAACGTACTGAATTAGCATCAATGCTGTTCAGTGCATATACATTTCAATGCATGTTACTTGAAAAGGACACATTTTAAGAGATTATTATTAATATTATTTGAGCTAGACTCTCACTCTGCTGTCCAGGCTGGAGTGTAGTGACAATCACAGCCAGCACTCAGCCTCCCAAATAGCTGGAACCACAGCCATGTGATACCACGTCTGTCTAATTTTTTTATTTATTGTAGAGACGAGGTCTCGCCATGTTGCCCAGGCTGGTCTCGAACCCCTGGGCTCAAACAATCCTCTTGCCTCCACCTCCCAGAGTTCTGGGATTACAGGCATGAGCCACCACACTTGGCTAAAAGAACATTACTAAGGATCTATTAAAGTAAAAACCTATTCATGAAAACATGCAAAATTCAAAACTGAGTAGAAAGATAAGAATAGCAGGTAATCCCATATTTTACAGAACTCACATTTTAATGTATAAAAGACTCCAGGGCTGCACGCCTCTTGTGCCTCAGGCAAGCCCTGGTGCGGCCTTAGACAGACTTGGGTTACAAGGAGGAGTAGGCGTGAGTGCCATGTCCACTAACAAGAGACTTCCACCCACGCCTCTGCTCCCACCGCTACAGGGACCAGCCTTGTATGAGTTTTCAGCTAAGATGGACATGACTAGGGTGGAGGGCTGGGGGCGGGGCAGATAATGATCCCAGTCTCAGGCTGAGACTCCTGGGGGTTTCAGACAGCAAGACTGAGCATCTGCAGCCCACCTGGAACCGCTTCCAGACCCACAAGCATGATGCATTTAGCTTATAGTGAGACTTCCCAGGATGCTTAAAACACTGAGTTTCTTGACTTCTGGGGACAGATGATGGTCTGGGGGCTGTGACTGACCGGTTCTGGTAGGAAGGAGGGGAGCCTGGGTCCCATGTCAGTGCAGAGCACAGGAACTTTTCTGTGTCACCTGCTCCTACAGCTCATGTGCGATTATTTCCTCATGATTCCTGACTAAAGGATACATTTTTTTAATGTCTGTCTCTAAATAAGCGGTCAAAACGTTTAAATGATGCTAATAACACCAATAATATTAAATGTCTACTATGTGTTGTGTACTGTGCCAAGTACTTTACATAATTTATCTTCAATCCTGAGAGGACAGTGATTATGTCTGAACACCGTTTGTTTACCCATCACGGTATCTGGCACCCGGCAGTACGCGATACATATTTGAATGCATGCATGAATGAATGAATGAATGAACGAGCAAATAACTGGACAAATGGACAGTTCTCAACTTCAGCATTCTTTCAAGCTTTGTTTTTTGTTTTTTTGAGGTGGATTCTCACGCTGTCACCCAGGATGATGTGCAATGGCATGATCACAGCTCGCCACAGCCTTGAACTCCTAGGGCCAGGCAATCCTCCCACCTCAGCCTTCTGGGTAGCTGGCATGCATCACCACACCTGGCTAGTTTTGGGTTTTTTTTTTTTTTTTTTTTTTGGAGTCTCACTCTGTCGCCCAGACTG